AATTCTTAGACGTTCAAAAGTTAAAGCGAGAAAATAGTTTTGCACTACAAGATATTAACAGAGGTTCATAAATACTTGAAATACCACGAAAAGCAATGTATTTTTGATTGTTCAGCTCTCTAGATTTTTAGTTTTTTTTTAATAATTTGTTATTTTATATATTTCATATATAATAACCTTATATTTTATTAATTTCAAGTATAATCTTTTCATGGGAGGAACTGAACGTGCACAATTTGCTTATATTATGGGAACATTTATAACTGCCTTAGATATGGTAAAAATTCATTCAATTAGTATTATTATTATTTCCGAGAATTTATATAATAATAAAGATCTATATTAATGCGCGATATCCATATAATATTTATAATATTTGTGATATTTTATTTGTATGTATTATAAATAAATAAATAAAACTTTTACTATTATACTCTATTATACTTTCTATTATACTGTAAATTCTATTATGAAAATATGAGATCGGATCGAAACTGATCGAAGTTGCTGGCAATGATCTTAGATGATTCTTTTCACTTAAACAAATCTTTGATAGAGTAGGGTTATGCAGATAAAATCATAATTTTGATGAAATGTGCCTTATTGTGCCAGTAAATTGGAGAAAATATTAGACATAAAACTTTATAACTGAAATAGTGATGAATCTAGTACAGTTAATGAGATAGGTAGATGGATAGATAAGATGGAACTCTCATTTTATGAGAGAACTTTTTCCCTTTAAAATGGGATCCATTTATTTATTATATTCATTTTTTACTTAGCCGGTTTCTTATATCAACGACAAATAAATATTAAAAATTTATGCCTATATAATGATTCAGATTTTTGCAATACAAAACTCTTGTTCTATTGCTTTTGATACAATTAATGTGAAATATGAAAAATATTATGTTCTAATTTCCGCAATATGAATGGTTTCAATTTTCCTCATAGGCTCACAGGTCTGGTTGAGCTGGGTTGGCTTTCTGGGCTTCACCTGAAACGAATTCATAAGTTTTGTATAGACTTCAGATGGCAATATCTCGATAAATATTGGTGATGAAATGATAGTTTTACTACCATTGCAAAGCACGTTTCGACAGTACTAGAAAATTATGTAAAATCAATGTAAAATATAAAATTAATACACTATCTTCAGGTGATAACAACTTTAAAAATATCGATTCTAGAAGGACAATTAAACCAATATTGCAAAGCTTAAGAGCAGGGCTTTTAGAAATATCTTAGTAAAAATCACTCCCTGTTGTAAATCTACATGTAAACTTATAAGCTTGCAACCTTAAGTATTTTAATAATGTAAAAAGTTGAATATTATGAAAATTAATATATATTAATAATGCATGTTGATAATACAGTATATTTATTTGGTTTTATAAAAATATATTACATAATTTATTAGAAATAATAATAATAGCTCAAAATTTTCAAAAATAATATAAACTAAAGTGAAGTGATTTATAGACACTACAATTAAGAAATTTCTGTTAAATAAATTGATAATTTGTTTAAATTCAATACATAATATAAAGTAATTAAACCAAATTTTTACTTAATTATTATTAAAATTAAAATTCATAATATCAAATTTTAAAAAAGAAGGTTGAATATGTGAGAGTGAAGGTAAACGATGGCTTGTAAGGTATGCCTCAGAATGAGTAGTTTCAGCAGATGATAATTCAAAATCTTCATCTTGCATTTTTTCATTTGCATTTAAAAATACAAGTGAATGTTCTGTTTTATCAACATATGTCAATTCTTCAATCCATATTTTTAATGTATCAAAAATTATTTTATCTTTGTGCCAACATTTTTCCATTAATTCTACATAACATTGAGGTGTGTCTCTATTAATTTTTGGTCAAAGTCCATTGAAAATATCAGCTGTTAATTCTGAATAATACGCTCTAATAGCAAATGGTATTTTTCCTGTTGAAATTACCCACATAATAATTCCAACACTATAAATATCTGAAGCTTGTGAATATTGATATTTATGTAAGACTTCAGGTGCAATATATGGTAATATACCATATGCTCCAGATGACGAGATTTCATTTGCAAATCTGCATAATCTTAAATCTCCTAATCTTATGAATTTGTATTTGGAATTGTTATATGCTTCAGTTATCATAAGGTTGCCAGGATGAAGATCACGATGGATAAGTTCTTCACTGTGAATGATTTTTGATCCCCTGATAAAAGTATTCAATAACCATAATCGTTCAATCCAAGGTAATGATTTATTTTGTTTAAGAAAATCTCCTAAATTTCCATTTTTCATATATCGTAGAACCATTGAATATTCTTTTGTCTTTGGATCTTGAGTTATACCTAAAATTGGTAAAACATATCTATCTCGACATTGGAAATTCACCTTTAACTATATTTATAAAACTATAAATTGCTTTTATATTAGATAAAAACATATTGATATATTGATTTATTTATATTTAACTCTTTTAAAAATCCTGAACTAATTTCTTGTAAGTTTCTTCAAGACAATTTGATCTGATTTATAAAATTCAAATAACTCTACAGGCATATGTATCTATCCATTCTGCTTTCCAAATACTACCAAACCCTCCTTCATCTAAATATTCTATATCCTTAAATTTATTATAATTTATCCATCTCATTCTTTTGCATTATCATCTGATTGAGTTATTTAAATAATCTTATCAATTTCATCATCATTGCCACTAGTCCATTTTTGTTTTTCTATATGTTTACAATTTGAACACGTATTATTATGTGAATTTAATTTTTCACAATTATGACATTTATGCTTTAATTTATTTTGATTATTTTTAATCTTAGAAATTCCAATTTCATTTCGATAGCAATAATCAAGAATAATTTGTTCTCCCCCTTCAGCTGATTTCATGTACCATTGAAATGCTTTCTTTTCATCTTTTGTGGTTCCAATACCGCGTTGATAACAATTCCCAAGATTGCATTGCCCATTATTATCTCCTCCTTCAGCTGATTTCAAGTACCACTGAAATGCTTTTTCTTCATCTTTTGTGGTTCCAATCCCATTTTGATAACAGTATCCAATATTATTCTGTCCTATATGACTTCCCGCTTCAGCTAATTTCAAGTACCTCTGAAAATTTTCTTTATCTTTTGTTGTTTCAATTCCATTGTAACATATATTTTCCATTGTGTGAAGATTTTTCTGACAAAAAAATTATTAAATGTTTATGTTATTACAATATTAGAACTAGATGCGTCTCTCCATGTGATAAAGATGATTGTCATTAATTGGTTGTATAATTTATTAATGTTCAAATACAATAAAAATTATATAGTGACGGCGAGTCGAGTAGATTTTATCTTTATTCTTTTATATACAGTAACTTTATATTTACTATCATTTATAAATAAAGTGAAAGAAAGTAATTCTTTAATTTTAATTTAGTGAGATTTCACTCTTGCGCTAGATTTAAAGTATTCTGACTTTCTCGTGGAATTTTTCCATAAGTGATTCGTGGCTCGGCCTATAAGGATAGCATTAAATTTTCCTATCCTCTTGCAACGGAATACTTAAATATCATATAAGCATGGCATCCAATTTCGGGGTATAATTTCTGTTTAGTAGCGTGTTGAAGTTATTTATTTTAGATATCATGTATAAAAACTTGTTATGTTTTATAATCTTATAGTTTTATTAGAATAGAGGAATTGGACAATATTTATATTCTCGAATAATTAGTCATACTAACATTCGCTAATGCCAAATATGCACACCCATTCAATATTATATCTATTATATCTTTTATTTTATGTATATGATTATTTCATTTTTAAAATAAAATAGGAATTTAGAAATAAAAATAAAATAAATTTTTTTTTTCTTGAAACAATATTCTCTGTTTTCGTGATTTTCAAAAAAAGGAACGAAAAACGCAAGAAAGAAGAAGAATAATGATAGTTATTTTAATAATAACATTTTTTTTTCAACAGTCCTAATTGAAATTCTACTGAGCTCAAGAAAAGTATGGAATTTGATCAGTTATAAAGATTTTAATTTTTGGATAATAATCTTTTTTATATTTTAATTATTTTTCTTTTATCAAAGATATTGTGTCTAAAGAATTGCGTCGAATACTTTTAGCACTTCTTAAGAAATATCCTGATCGTATAACATCTGTTATTTATAACCTCTTAGCACAAGAGCCATCTATTGACATGGTAATTTATTTCACTATAATAAAATTATTTTTCGTAATACATATTCAAATTTTTTAATGCGCTTTCATTTAAAACAATTAAAAACAGGAAGCACCAACTGAGATAAAGAGAGGTTTATTGATTCTGAATAAAGCAAAAAAATTCAAGCGCGTCGCCTCAAAGAGAACAATTAAATTATGTGCAAAATCTGGGTTATGTATATATATAAAAATAGGATAGCAAATATCGTCCTCAACACTTGAAGAAATTGTCTCACACGAGGATGTGATTTCAACGAGTACATATACATTTTTTTAATTATTATATATTTATATGATTAATTCCAATATAATTATAATATATAATTCATTAAATAAGTTATTATTATTGTGATATCATTAAGTGATAGATTTGTTGAAAAAGATCGAGTTCCACATTTATTGTTTTATGGACCTTTCGGTACAGGAAAAACTACAACAATATTAGCTTTTGCGAGAAAGTTATATGGTTCAAGTTGGTTCTGGAAGTAATAATTAGAGATATTGAGTGAAAGATATATAGGAGATATAGAGATTCAATTGATAAAATTCGAAAAGCTTCATTTGAATTAAAGTTAAACGCGTCAGATGATCAATGGTGTGAGGGAAGAAATCAAAACGTATGCAAGTATGCAAAGAATGTTCGGGTATTATAATATTTATACTATATTATAAAGATTATTAGTCATATTAATTTATAATTATTTTTAATAATAATGGATTCAAACCTATTATGTCGGATGAAGCTGACATGCAAGCACGAAACGCGTTGAGACGAAGTATTGTTCTTAATGCTCTTAATGTAATTGAATGACTTCGAATAATTTATTAATTATATTAAACGATTTCTTCTTCCTCACCTCCTTGTGTTCTCCTTTTCTTAGTTATTGAAAAATATACCAGGAATGATCGATTTGTTATATGTAATTATATTTCTGAGATCATTCTAGCAGTTCAATCTCATTGCACAAAGTTTGATTTTCCCCAATGAAAGAAAAGGAAGCAAGAATACATAATTCAATGGGATAAGTATGTATGTAATAATTAGTATATTATCTATATAATTATGCAAACAGTTAAGTTTTTCTTATAGATTATTGTTAGTGACTACCGTATTTTCAAGGTTTAATTAAATTATGGATAATTTTTTTTTATTGCCAAGTGTAATATATCACTGGATGGAATTTCTGCTTTGCAAAGGATCGATAATGGAGATATGAGAAAAGCTTTAAATGGTTTGCAGGTATGTCACGTTGCATATAATTATATTGATGAAACAGTGGTATATAAATGTACTGGAAATCCGGAACCTGAAGATATCAAATATATCGTCTTAAAAATGAATTTAATACAGCATATTCTAGTAAGTGGATATTCAATTCATTACTTTATGTTGTGTTCTTTAAATTGCATTTGTTTTCAATTGCATTCTTAAACGTTTAAAAGTTAAAGCAAGAAAAAGTTTTGCACTACAAGATATTGTAGCAGAGGTTCATAAATATTTGAATAATTTTGAAATGCCACGTAAAGAATGTATTTTTGATTGATCAGCTCTCTATATTTTAATTATTTTTTAATAATTTGTTATTTTATATTTTATACATAATAATCTTTAATTTCATTAATCTTAGGTATAATCTTTCCACAAGACCGAACATGCGCGATTAGCTTCTATGCTGAAAATTTAAAACTGCCTTAGATACGGTAAAAATTCATTTCATTATTAAGTATTATTATTATTTCCGTTGAATTTATACTATTAATAAAATATCTATTTTAATGCGCGATATCCAGATATTTTTAATATTTATTATTATTTCAGATAAATAATTAAATAAATAATAAACCTTTTATCATTATTATACTCTATTAACTGTAAATTCTATTATGATAATATTAAATCTAAACTTATCAAGGATGAGGATTGTTTGATAATGATCTTAGATGATTTTTTAAGCAATAAAACATGAAATCACTATATATTCTTTTTTTTTTCCTTCACTGGACCCTCTTTAAACAAATCTTTGCATAATTTTGATGGAATGTGCCTTTTTGTTCCCGTAAATTGAAGGAAATAAGACATAAAACTTTTATAACAGAATTAGTGATTATAAATCTAGTACAGTTAACGAGATAGGTAAATGGGTAGATAAGATGGAACACACATTTTATTGGTGCCTTTTCTCTTATGGGATCATTTTGTATTTATTATATTTATTTTTTCCTTACTTAGCTGGTTTCTTTCAGATAAATAAATATTAAAATTTTTTGCCTATATTGGACTTCTAATTTTTAGCAATGCATTTGGCGAATAAAGATTTGCAATACAAACTCTTGTTTGATACAATTAACCTAAAGTATTTTTATAAATTGTCTTTGGAAAAGTAAATGTAAAAAGTTGCATAAATTAGAAATATTAATAATACAATATATTTAATTAGTGTCATAAAAATACATTATATAATTCATATAGTAATGTTAATTACTAAAATAATATTAACTGAACTAATCAAAGCGGAATGATTTATAGACATTACAATTATGAAAGTTAATTGAACACTTGTTTAAATTTCAATTGTGTAAAGTAATCCAAACAAATATTAACTTAATTATTATTAAAATCAAAATTCATTTTATTTATATTAAATCCTAAAATAGAAGAAGGTTGAATATGTGATGGTGAAAGTAAACGATGGCATGTAAGGTATGCCCAGAATGAGTAGTTTCAGCAGATGATAGTTCAAAATCTTCATTTTGCATTTTTTCATTTGCTTTTTAAAAACATAAGTGAATGTCTGTTTTATCATTATATATCAATTCTTCAATCCATTTTCTGATGTATCAAAAATCATTTTAGCATTTGGACACTTGGTTGGATCTTTGTGCCAACATTTTTCCATTAATTCTACATAACATTAAGGTGTGTCTCTATTAATTTTTGGTCGAAGTCCATTGAAAATATCAGCTGCTAATTTTGAATCATATGCTCTTTTAGCAAATGATATTTTTCCTGTTGAAATTATCCACATAATAATTCCAACACTATAAATATCTGAAGCTTGTGTATATTGATATTTAT